TATATATATATATAAAATCTGTATCTCTATTGGTCTATCGCTCGATCTCCATCTCTCTCTCTTTTTCTCTCTGTCTTTCTCTCTCGCATGCGCGCACACACAGGCAGATGGAAATGGCAGACGTCTTTCAAACAGCTAAAGTTGCTGCTTACAGAAATAGTTCGCCCTCATTAATGGCCCGGCGGTGTTGAAGAGCCTCTGCAGCCTCCGTCGAACACTCGCTCGCGTCTCTGCGTTCAAGAGAAGACGGTTGAAGAGGGAGATCTGCCCGTCGCCTTCAGCGTGCTCCTCCACCTCCAAGATGTTTGGATGCAAACGTAAAGAAAAACACAAATCCAACCTGCCGGATGAAATGTGGACACAATACAATCAAAGTCTGGACTGTAACAGACGCTGAAACGGAGCTATTCAACTGGTGGCCCAGGGGCTAAATCAGGCCCACAGGTGAGCTCAGTTCGGCTCAACAAATAAAACTAGACTTTAAACTGTAAAACAAACTTAAGTAGTAATGACAATAACTGATACCAAAGTCCATGTTCAATAATCCAGGTATAAAATCCAACAGTGTTCGTTCAGGTCATCTGGACAGTTTCTTTTTTTATGCTGAGACATTTCGCCCTCCATCCAGAAGGCTTCATCAGTCTGAGGAAACTCCAAAAAAAAAAAACGGATTCTCTCCCAACAGCTTATTCCAAAGTGGGGAAAAAAAACAGTTATGTTGGTGCTAAGATGGCCTCTGGGGCACACCTTCTCCTCTGTTGCCCGCCCTCTCCCTCGTCGACAGTCATGTCAAACTGGTTCAAAACACCAAAGTCCATGCTCAATAATCCACGCACAATAAAAGATACCATCCAAATGACCTGACTGAACATTTTTAGACAATAACTGCTGGATGTCCGACCCCTGACCTCTTGGCTTTCAGTAACCGTGGACCTCTGAGCAGATGCTGCGCTTATTTAATTCTTATTTAAGCAGTCGTGCGTTCATATGACAGTAAAATTTAGTTTGGACGAGCGTCGCAGATTAAAAACAGACCGTTTTCTTCCTTGTGCTCCTTTTTTCCTTTTAACGCCAACGTTCAGACGCACAAATGTAGTTTGGTGACGTTAATATAAAACGTGCTTCGTTTAAAATAAATTCAAGCAGGTGGTTTTGAAGGGGGCACATTACGGACGTTTTTTATTCTCACTTCCAATCTACAAGTTTCATATTAATCCACAAAGTTTAGTCACTTTATCTTCCTCGTTAAGAAATCTGTCAGAGGTGATCTACCCTGCAAGGTTTGATCAAAACTGCTATAAATCTCTTTTTATATGCCCGTCGAAACCAGGACGCATTATGGTATAGTCTCCACACATCCATGTATACGTTAACTTTTCCTTGCCCCGCCCACATCTCACCCAAGGTCACAAATCAAGATCATGGGCCATGATTTCTCATCTGCTGAAGATAATTTGGGACTTGATACACATACACCTCATCACTAGATGGAGTGACACTTGTATACTTTTATTTGCTCCAGTGTCAAGGTCACAAATCAAGGTCAACGCTAAAACATGGTATTTCTTTTTCGGAGCCATAACTTCTGATCTGCTCAAGATAAATTAGGACTTGATACACATACACCTCATCACTAGATGGAGTGTTGCTTATACTTTTAATTACTCTGGCTTCAATTTCACAAATCAAGGTCAACGTTAATGCAAGGTCATTGTTTATCTAGGCAATAACTTCTGATCTGCTTGAGATAGTTGGGACTTGACACACATATGCATCATCATTAGATGGAGTGTAGCTTATACTATCAATCACTCCAGATTCAAGGTCACAAATCAAGGTCAGTGTTAGTACAAGTTGTCCGGGCCATAACTTTTGATCTGCTCAAGATAATTTGAGACTTGATACGCATATCCTTCGTCACTAGATATAGTGTTGCTTATACTATCAATCACTTCAGATTCAAGGTCACAAATCAAGGTCAACGTTAAAACAAGGTCTTTGCTTGTCCAGACCATCTTTTGAGCCGCTCAAAATGATTCACATATGCCTCATCAATAGGTAGTGTCGCTTGTATTTTTAATCATTCTGACTTAGGGGTCATAAATCAAGGTCAGCGTTAATACAATGTCATTGTTTGTCTAGGCCATAACTTCTGATCTGCTTGAGATGAGTTGGGACTTGATGCACATATGTATAATCACTAGATGGAGTGTGGCTTATACTATCAATCACTCCAGATTCAAGGTCACAAATCAAGGTCAAAGGTCTTTGTCTGGGCCATTCATATAGATTGCTGTATAATAGATTGTCGATGGGTGTATGGTGTGCTGTACGTGGCACTCTTGCCTCTACATCACAGCGTGACTTTAGTTAAGTGTTTGGCATTAAAGGTGGCGATACGCGTTCCTTCACGGAACACAAAGACCATGTTCGAGTAAAGAATGCTCACTGTATTTCTTCAAAGCAACTTGTCCTAAAGGTACTCTAACGACTTCAACCTGATTTAAACGATCCCCCTGTGGGGTTGGAAGATTCATAAATGAAGCAGCTAAATCTAATTAACATGCTTTAATTGGATTAATGTGATTCAAACGTTTCTTGTGGTCCAACCTTCAAAGACCCGCAAACAAGTGATCAAAGACCTGAATGTGGCCCCAGAGCCGCAGGTTGCAGACCCCTGTGCTAGGCCTTAGTGTTGAATAAAGCGAGGTACTGATCCAGGAGCAGCTTTTTGTTTCTGTGAAGGCTTCGGCCTCTTTTAGTCAAAAGGAAAATGAGCCTCGTTTAGAGGAAACGGAGAGCCGGTGATTTTCTAGCCCATTTCTCGCAGCCGCTCGCGCGCACCGAGTAATTAAAAACTGACGACTTCTAATCACCGTTTGATTCCTGTCAGCACTTCTGCACCTCCTCGTTATTTCACACAGACTCGAGGATGATTTAACTGTTTGAGTGAAGGAAAGTGTGTGTCAGGGACAGGATGGAGGGGTCATTCTGCACATGGTTGACCCCCCTCCCCCCCTCACAGGAAGGGAGGATTTCAGGAAGATTTTGTTTTTTTGTTTGTGTCGCCGATGTCTCTTTCATCGGCCCATCCTGTCGTCTTTTAGGCCCCGTTACCACGACAACAGCCCTCGTTCTCTCTTACATCGAAGGGTTTCCGAATCCTGGCCTCAGAGTAGAGGGTTTTGAGAACCCCCTGGAGAGGTGTGCAACACTCGCAGGCGCACGACTACATGGCAGTTAAAACGAGCGGTATACCCATGTCCCCCAACACTGAAGGATTTGAACAGTGAATGTTTGTAGTTTCTGAGATGAGTGTCTTTCTGGACTGGAATTGAACAGAGATTGACGGTAAATCTTAATGTTTTGGGTGCAAGATATTCAAGTAGGTAGGAGTTGCACTGTGGAGAAGAACAGAGGGAGGTTGTTGTTTTTCTTGACCAAGGCGGTGCAGAGTGATGGATTCAGGCGAGCAGAGGGAGCAGTTTTATCACAAGGTGCATTAGAGGAGCCAGGGGGTGGCCAATGGTGGCCTGATTCATCTTCAGCCACCCTAAGGGCCACACCAATAATTTTGGGTAGCCATACTTTTATGCAATATAATGATGATGATGATGATAATAAATAATAGTATTATTGCACCAGCCATCTTGATTTTTGATGTGGCTACTCGCCCATTTTCAGCATGTAGGAGTAAAACCAACAACATCCTTGGTCCAAAGGAACAGTCTTTCATTCA